TAAAATTCAACTGCTGTTCCCTTAAAGAGATATTTTCAAACACATTTTGACACATCACCTGCTCTCATTCTGAGGTACCATTTTCTGTTGAGGCCTTCAGAGACATTTTCCCCTGCTGCTGACTCTATACTAGACCAAAGTTCCATTCAGGATCTCTACTCTATGCCTCCTACTACTTCTGCCTTTCTATTTCATTCTCAGATCTTCTGTTTCCAAAGCTCCCCAAGCACTCCTCTACCTTGGTCTGCTTTATTCCTACATCTGTTTAGGAAAATAGCAGTGCCTGCCAGCAAAAGCAAACACAGGACACACTGAGACACACATACACAAGTCACATCTCTCTTTGCATACACAGGTGTGTATGTAGACAAACAAACTCACTGTCAAGAGAGGAAAACATGAAGGGTTTAAATTTCCATTGAAGATACTGCAGTTAAAAAAAAAAAAAAGAGAGAGAGAGAAAAAAGGAGATATTATTTGAGCCCAAATATGTGTCAGCCCCTCTTTTAAAGTGCCCTGTTTGCACAACCATTTGTTTAATAGAGGGAGTGTGTGGGAATGAGGATTACATGGCTTGTAGTAAGCTTGGAGAAGAACAAGATTGGATTCCTGTGCTGGGTCTCAATTTCCAGGGACTGACAGACATGAGTTCAGTGTAGGAATATTCTTTTTATTATAGAATCTTAAAGGAAGTCTCTGCTATTTGCCATATTTTTTTTCCTACATAGAACTGTTTAGTTGTGTCGGTCCTTCAAAATGTAGCTTGTCTACTCCAAAAAATCTATCCTCAAGTTTGTCCTCCATTCACTTTGACCAAATTCTGCCATAACCACTCTGCAAATCTATATATGAGGTCAAAATTGATCTGTGTTTTTTTGACAGACATTAAATTCATCTTAATGTGTTCCAGAGTGATCTGGAATTATTTTTTAATATTGCATTCTGCTGTGCTCTAGTCTGTTCTAACTTCATAGAATATGAATAATTAAGCATCTTGGGAAAAGAAGCCATCATCTGAATCCAAAACCTTCTCCTTGTTTATCTTTGTCACACTTCCTGAAATGTGCCCCTTGCACAACCTTCTCATGAATCCCACTTGCTGAGAACTGTACTCAGCAAAATACTGTACATTGGCACAGGACAGCCTCATAGGATAGTATCAAAACTACTCACACCTATCCTGGGTTGAAATTCAGTGATAACCATGTTGAATCTTTAAATACTTTTTTTTGGTTTTGTTTTTGGTTTTGTTTTTGTTTTTTTTTTTTAGAATGGTAGCCAAATGTCAGCATAAAAGCAGTCCTCATTTTTCTGTTAGTAGTAAAGCACTTTAATGTCTGGTGCTGTAGTTTGACATCAATATCCTCACAATTTTTAGGAATCATTATATATACTGTAAGATCCAGTCTCTTTTGTTTGAACCCACTCTTGTTTTCTTTCCCTTCAACCTCCACACCTTTTGGCAGTTCCTCATGAATACCTTTTACATCCTACCTAGTCCTGCCTTTTTCTTTTCATGGATATACATTGAATTTAGATATGACAGTGGGAGACAGACTGCACAAGTAAGGGGGAATCATAATGATTAGCTCATTCCATAAGCAATTTAACTTTGTGACCAAGACTTGGTCAGTCACACAGTTCATTTCTTCTGGAGGACAGCCAGTAGACTGAGCACACACTGAGTAGAGTCTCTGGGAGTTCTGCACTGTAGAGGTAGTATATATTCTTCCAGAAGGCACTTATCTGACTTGAGGTCTCTTCTTCTTTGGTCTTGTCTCCACCTTCTCATTCCCTTCAGTTTATTCCATTAAGGTTGCCTGCTTGCTAGCTTTTTTCACAGTTTCATTAATCTGTTATTTTTAACACTAAAATATCCTATTCATAGAACAAATTCAGTAATCGGTTAATTTGTTACCTTCTTCTTCACAGTCCTTACTGTCTCCCTATTTCTTAACCTATCTTTCCTAAAGCACCATCTTTAGCCTTCTTAATAAATCTCTGCTGACTTCTCCTATTTTTCTTACCTAGAACAGTGAGACATGTTCCTTTTTCAAAGAAACATGAAATTTGCCTGAGAAGCTTGTTCAATCTTCCTCCTCCTTATTGACACAAAAATTCTATTTCCTAATCTACCATACCCAGAACAGCCACTCCTGAAACACCCCCCACCCCTGAAAAGAGCTGTACTAACCCCTAGAAAGGTAGTATGCTACTTCACTTAAGTAATGTCTACTGTGTTAAAATACCAGGACAACAGGGAAGATCCTGTTTATCCTTCCCTTGCAGTCCTTCACTCTCTCATTACTTTCCTTTCTTTCAAGCTTAAAAAAAAAAATAAATTTTCACTTAAACTGTTTTGATGTTAAGCATCCTCTTCACCATGAACCTACAAATATTGCTTTTAGGCATAGGATTTAGCAAAACACTGACTGCTAAACATCTCAGACAAGGGCTATCCTTTTTTTTAGGCAACTTGTCATATACCCTATCTTTTTGCAGTCTGGCAGATTGAAGTGTAAACACACAGACTGATGTTTGCCCTCACTCCTTACTTAATTCTGCAGAATTTGGAATCACCTCATGGTAAATCCCTTACCCATGGACTCTCCTTCCTGTAATTCATATAGCAATCAGGTGTTTAACTCACAAACTCTGATTTCTCCTCTACCATAATTAATGTTCTGCCTGCCTCAAATGAGGAAGGACACAAAACCAGGCATACTTTTCAAGTACTTTTAAAGTTTTATCATAGCCACCAGAAAGAATTTCTACTGTATACATTTCCTGTGAGATCTTGCTTCAGATAAGAAAATGCTGGCTCCCACAGGAAGCTCAGTACGTCTGGCATGTGCTAAAAAACCTGTTTGTCAAGGAAGGTGCAAGAGAAGTTGAGATGCATTCGGCTTTGTTGTCAGCCTCTGCTTATTACTCAGAGTAGTCACTGAAGTCTGTTGTCTGAATTTGAGAGAAAAACAGTAAGAAAATAAGTGCATATCTGTTGTAACAGTTTAGGTTTTGAAGGGTCAAGGACAAAGAAGCCTCCATTAACTCCGTGGTTCCCTCTCTTTTATACTCTCCTATCTTCTGTGATCTAGGAAATTTTGGGCACAGGAATTCACCAACTGTGGGGAGTATGGAGGTGTTTATTTTCTGTTCGCAGAACCCTGGAATACTGACTTGTACCAACTGATAATTTCCCCTATTCCATGCCCCACTTGGCATGCCCACAGAAAATGCTCACCAAACTTTTTTTTCTTCCTTCACTCTAGACTATATGTTTCATCTTTTTTTCAAATGCTGTTTCTTAAGCATATTATTTTGATTTTCAGACAGCAGTTCCTTGTCATCAACCCTTCTTCTCCTCCTGAAAATGCATAATTAGAGGTCTAATTTGTCCCTTAGTCTATCTTTCTATTCCTGAATAGAGTGTTACTGCCTTGATCTGCAAGTTAGCTTATGATTTTTGTTTCAAGAATCAAAACATCTTATTTCTTCTTCTAGAGGCTACCCTAGAATATGTCTGTGTTTCTTTTTGGGGTTTTTTCCCTTCTTCAGTATTGTTGTCTATTTTTTTGAATCTTTCAAAAGCAAAATGACCTATTATTTTACAATGTTCAGGGCAAACATGGCAAAAATATTTATGAAAACAACAATTGCAACTGGAAGACTGATCATCATCTGATCGTTTCTCTCACTGATACATAATGGAACTTAAACATGACTTCACTAAAATAGAAAATACAGATATAAAAAGAAATAATTTAAAGAAAAATTCTTTCTGGACTTCCTTCATTTTATTTCAAACATACTTGGTAAATAACATTCTATTAATTGTAACAGTCAGCTTGGTTTCTCCTCCAAACTGCAGTGGTTCTGTGTAAGCACAGATAAAAATTATAGGTAAAATTTGTAAAATCACCAATAGGTGTCCAAATGGCTGAGATTATTTCTCTGTGCTCAGTTTGTGTAATGGAGAAATCAATTCAAATTTCCTTCCACTGTCTTAACAGTGAAGCAAATGCTAAGACTTTGTGTGAATTATTGAAGGACAATTAAGTTGTTTGGTTGAGGATAACAAAAAGTGCTCCATTTCATAGAATCATAAAATCACGGAATTGTTTGGGTTGAAAGGGACCTTAAAGACTATCTAGTTACAAACCCCTTGCCATGGGCAGGGACACCTTCCACTAGGCCAGGTTGTTCACATCTTGTGAATGTGAGATCCATAAAGACATTTTTGAAAAAAATTATTTTCAGGAAACAGTTCTCCATTTTGTTTGAAACAGCCATGAGACTACATAAATAATTTCTGTAATCAGAACACCCAGTAAATCTCATTGTTCAATGCAGTATTTTCCCTTGCTCTGAAGTGTTTTGAGGAGATTAAAGGAGTGACAAGCACAGAGCAGGAAAAATAACTCCATTTTATAGGATTATACCCATCTGTACTCTAGCACTTAGATATACTTTTTTCCCTTTAATGACATTAAAAAAGACATGCCACCTTCTTCTCAAACCTGTCATCAGATCCTTTTGAAACAAACACATTAACTATCAGGCGACCTTTAATCTATTCACAAAATTTTTCTTCACTAACACAATGAGTGTGGTGCCATCACCGAGCTAATCTCAAGTAAGAACACAGTGAGAGAGAAAGCATCTACCATGCCTCTCCTGAGAGGGTGTCACTTTTCATCTGGCTGGAGTTCTGTTTCCTTGTCTACCACCTTTGAATTATGCATTGATTTTGGCTAGAAATCAGCCACTGCAGTGTGCAAGCCTCTAAAGCCTGCAGACTTGCTCCAGTTGTTGGTACACAGTCTAAGTACTGGATGAGTCTACTGTTCCCATAACAGATAAATTATTCCTATAAGGATTGTCAGTGAATGATCTTTAATGTGAGCTCCTCATGACACCACTCATCACTGAAAGTTGTGTGGTAGGACATTATTCCTACAAAAGACCAAATTAAAAGACAACAACTTGTGTTTTTTCAATGGAAAAAAGAGCTAAAACTTTATTCCTAAATCAAGGAGCTGAGTTCTCAGCCTTTGAGCATTAAAAAGGTGCTAGTTTTAAACATATGAGACAATACACTATGATAATATACAATCTAGAAGCACAGGAAAAATCCAATAGTGAGTACAAAAAAGTGGAGAACAGAAGTGGGACAAAAAGCCATCAAAAATATTTAGAAATTCTTAGAAGCATAGATCCTTTGCCATGGAAAGGTAGAGGTATAACTTGTGTTCCTGCTGATGTGATGAAGAGGGGTCTTCATTCATTCTTTATACAACTTGCCACCTACCTAATTGAAAACAAAACAGAATAAAAAATATTTTTAAAAAATGATAATAACAACAACCACCACCACCAAGCAAAAGAAATAAATACAGGAGTTGATTGGATGACCGTGCCCAGAGAGTTACCATCAATGATATAATGTCCAAGTGGTAACCAGTAATGAACGGTTTCCCTCAAGGGTCTGTACTGGAACCAACACCATTTAATAACTTCATCAGTGTGCCACTGATTCTAAGATCAAGTGCACCTCAGCAAGTTATGACACCAAGCTTAGTGGAAGTTGATATGCTTGAGGGAAGAATTGTCATCCAGAGGGACCTGGACAGACTTAAAGAGTGGGCCCATGTGAACCCTGCAGCCACAAGGATCAGTACAGACTGGAGGATGAATGGATTGAAAGCAGCCCCGTGATGAAGGAATTTGGGATACTGGTGCATGAAAAGTTGTATGTCAGCCAGCTGTGTGTACTTGCAGCCCGAACAGCCAACCATATCCTGGGCTACATCAAAAGCCCAGTCTGGCCAGCAGGTTGAGGGAAGTGATTCTGCCCCTCTTCTCTGCTCTCACGTGACCCCACTGACCCCACCTGGCGTACTACGTCCAGCTCTGGACTCCCCAGCACTTGAACCATGTTAAAGCAGATCCAGAGGAGTGTCACAAAAAATTGTAAGAGGGCTGCTATGAAGGCAGACTGAGAGAACAACCCCTCTTCAGAAGGGAGAAGAGAAACTTCTGGGGAGACCTTCTTGAGGCCTTTCAATATAGAAGAGGACTTTTTAAAGAAAAATAGAGATGTTTTACCAAGGCCTCCAGTGACAGGACAAGAGGCACTGGTTTTAAACTGATACAGGGTAGCTTCAGGAAGAAATTTATTATGTTAAGGGTGGTGAGACAGAATAGGTTGCCCAGAGAACCTCTGGATGCCCCATCCCTGGAAGTGTTCAAAGGTAGGTTGGACAGGGTTTTGAAAAATTTGGTCTAGTGAAAGATGTTGCTGCCCATGTCAAGGGGGTTGGAATTAGATGATCTTTAAAGGTCCTTTCTCAACTAAACCATTCTGTGATTCTGTGGCTGTGATCCAGTAAAATACAAATCCACTCCCTCTGGTATCCTTGGTAAAGGTCCAAAAATATAATTGAGATTGTTTTCATATTTGCCCTCAACTCTGCCAGGTCACTTTTCAAATACATCTCCCTGTTCTACTTCTAAAGGGACAAGTGCTGAGGCTTCCACTGCTCTCGCTGGGTATATCTTTCAACCATATGAGAAGCTTACTAATAAAAAGTATTTCCTAGCAGTTAGTTCAACTTCTCCCATTTGTTCACATTTACCCCACTATTCTTTGTAAATCTTTGTAATATTTGTTCAGATTTATCTCCTGTATCGCTTCAAAAAACCTGTTTGTTATTTTCACTGCAGGTATAAGTCCCTTTTTAATGGCTATAGAAAAGTATGATATATCTGACATTTCCCTTCTTTACTTTCTACAGAATTTGTCCTTAAGTCTCATCTTTTTCATGTGTTTAAAGAGCATTTTGAGAAGGAATTTCTCCACTAGATAGCACTGATTTTATTTGAGTTATGGAAAAACAGGAATAGAAAACTCATATCTCGTGATTTTTCAAACTAGACTGCACAAAACCTGGCAGAGCACAGGCAGAAAAATCACAGGTCTGAGAATAGATCTAGCCTGCATCCATTGATCCTTTACTAGTGAGTAAGCTCAGCCTTCAGGTGACACACTAGCTTACCTTGGCTCTCCACACCATACTGCTCGCCAAAACTGCATAGATCAAGGCTTTGCCACAGAGAATGAGGTAAGTGAGCTTCACAGAATTTCCATACCGCAAGTACGAGTCTGCAAAGCAAACATCATTTATGTATTGAATTGTCATCATCATGAGATACTAGATCTAATGTAGTTTTAATCAAATATGAACCCTTGAAATCTTTAACTAAGTCACATAAAGGAACTAGAGCCAAAGGAATGTTTCTGTTGACACCAGATAGCAGGAGATGGGAAAGAACATAGTGATCTGAAGAACCAAAAGAGAAAGCAAACCTGGGAAAGACAGAGATTGAGTTTATGCTAAGAAAACACTGTGTTTGTTGCCACACCTACTGAAAAACTAGGCTGTTCATCTGAATTCCCTCTTAGGAACACAAAATAAACTGAATCACAAGATAAGAATTTTTTTTCTCTCATTACTGTCAGTGGTCTTATGAGGGCTTTTGACATATCAGGCGAATTTTACACAGCCCAGAATAACATGGTATCTAGAAGTTTATTCTTGTAGATTTTTCACTCTTAAGGAGTTGCAGTAGTATTGAGATACCACCTCAATGTTGGATCAGCCTTAAGATTTCTGAAACATTAAAGAAGTTGGTGAAAAACAGAAGTGAGTAAATATGTATACATAAAGGACAGAAATGTAATTTGTAATCTGGATATCCTCCATACATAACTTCAGTTTGGAGGGGGATGTGGCTTGCCATCAGAAGTATGTCAAATTTTATATAGGAAATAGTCAAAATTTTGGATTCTGAATCTTCATGTCATAATCACTTGGATAAGTATGAATCATTTATTTCATGGCTGAGCAAGAATCTTCCTAACTGAAGGCATTGTTAAAGACAGGAGGAGATGATAAAGAGCAAATTACAGGAAGGTTCCACAGTTTTTCCTGTGTTTTCAAAAGGGAATCATAAGGAAGAGCTAAAACCCAACACCGCTGCTACATACAGTATGCACAGACAACTCTCCCAAAGTCTTTTATTCCTTATTTCTTTTTTTTTTTTTTTTTAAATCTAACATACAAATCACTTGGATGAAAAAGTAGAAGCTATTACTGTAGTAGAAATCTTACACACCTTGTACTTAGTGCCAGTAAAACTGGAATTAAAATACATACAGATATTTGCCTGTGAGAAGACACACATACCTTCTCTAACTGCACAACCTGAAAGACAATAAATAAACTCAAAGTCATGTTTCTCTTCAAATCAAACAGAATGTAAATTTTAGAAGTTTCAGTTTACAAAATACTGCCTAATTCATTATAATTCATTAATTCAGTAATTCATTTTAGTATAATATATAATTTATTATACTGTAAGTTTTACTATACTACGGAGATTTCTCAGTGAAAAGCTGAAGAAACTATACGTGTATAATGCTAATGTAGATAGAGAGGCCCAGGAATAAGGAGAGACATATTCTAATACCTACATATTTAGATACATATTTTGCCATAACAACATCCTGGATAGAAGTTTTTCATAGATGTGTTTCATATCATAGCACACACTCTTTTGATTTGTGATTTCTAGTTTGTACAGCATGGTGTACACATCTTTTCACTCACCAGCATCACCAGAGATAACTTTGTGTATGGATTTCTCTTTTCCATTCTGAAAAAATTTGGCAACACACTCAAAATTATTCAAAGGGTTGAACCATTCCCAGGCTGGGATCCTCAGTCGGCTGGTCAGTGAGTAGGTACTCCCATTCTGTGTGGAGAATTCATCCGTCCCCACTCCTTTTGTCCTTTTAACATCATTTACCATCCAGACCAGAGTGAGATGGTCAGGGTAGAAACCAGAGGCCAGGCATACCAGTGTGGCCTTGTTCTTCTGTTGGATCTCCTGCTTTGATGGGGAAAAGATGGCCACAGATGGAGGTATGATTTCCTTATCCTTCTCTGAAACAGAAAGCAATATGGCCCAGAGCCTCCATTACTCTATTCAATCAGAAACTCCTTAGAATTGTACTGTATTTGTGTTGTGTTACTCCTGATATACCTGGCCTTTTAACAACTGTCTAATAGAGAATTAATATCTATTAGATACTGGACACTGGGAAACTGAAAACATTTGTTTTCCTTTATTACACAGAAACATAAAAGGTCTGGCTACAGAAATGCATGAGTATTTGAATTTCTAGTATTGCCTCTGTCAGAAGAATAGGAGAGTTGGAAAGAAGCTTAGCAAATAGGTGGGCAGAAAAGTACCCACTTATGCTGTAAGGTCTGTATTTGTAATATTGTATTAATAGATAAGGGAGTCTGTTCTAAGGCACAAGCATCTTCAAAGGACTGAGCTACATTCCTGAAGATGTAGCTAAGACATGATGGTCATTGCAGTGTTCAAAATTATACTGTCATGTGGTACCCTACTTGAACACCCTATCTAAGAGGTGACTTGAAAGGAAAGAGCTAATCATTCTCACTGTCTGAAGTGAAGAACACCTGAGGTAGATAATATGAATCAGTCTGGGACAAATTTTGCTTTGGGTCTTAACTTGCCATCCTATTTTAAGACTAATAAATATCTCTTTATGCAATTTCTTGTTTAGGTTATCCTAGGTATAAGAAGCACTCATCCTAGACTACACATCTTCACAAAATGATGCAAGATTCTATACACTACAAACCAAAATTTGTCCCCTGTCCTATAGTGTTTAATACCTACATGTAAGACTAATGAGAACAGATTTCAGTCAAAAGGATGTACAAAGCAGCAATGAGAAGTTACTCAGAAGCTAGCCACTGTCCCCAAAAACCATTTTTTCCCATTATACTGAGTACAGAGCCTTTTTTACTCATCTAGTACGATAAACCCAACAGGTCTGCAGAATGCTTGTGGAAAGAGAAAGGCAGAGAGAGCTGTGGAGCCAAAGAGAAAACTATTACTGTCATTTCAGTGTGAAGGCACCATAAATTGTAGATGTCCTTCCCGACCACTCTCTCCTTTGTAGAGTGTTAGCAGAATTAGCAGAAATTTATATCTTGCATAGATATTGACTCCTAAGCACCAGTGTTTGCTTCCAAATGTTAGCCTTAATCATACCTAGATATTAACAGAGATAATTCCCTAGAAGATTTGGCACTGCTCTGCTTTCCTTTCAGTGGATATGAAGTTGATCACTTTTACTGCTCCCATTTAGCGCTTGGTTTTATGATTTTTTTTTTCCTATACTAAAAATATCTCTGACAAGTTCATTGGCTCATAGCCTAAATGGCTAATGAGTGAAGAGATGGAAACAAAAGGCGGACACAAAAGAAAAATGAGAGATCGAACAGACCAAAAAAAAGACAAAGCGGAAAGTAGGTGAAAAAGGCAGGCAGAAAGAATGGTAAAACTACTGGAAAGACAAAGAAAGTCAGAAAATAAGTATGTTTTAAATGGAATAACGGGACTGGTAAAAGCAAGAACAGAGGCAACCAGAAAAAAGTGTTATCAACAGCCCATTGTGTTCTCATCTTCCACACTGTTCATGGTAGGCACTGGCACAAAGCTTAATCCCTTCCATGCATAAACTCACGCATCCCCAGTCACACAGTATTCATCTGGCTAAGAGAAAAAGTACTGCAGTTCCCCCATTCCCATCATGGCAAGGTCAGTTTCGTAATTTCTTGTTCTCTTTCACTCCCACTCTCATTTTAAAATCATCTGTGTATATGCTGCGTATCATCAACGCAAGGGAAACTTTCAAGTGTCCTCCACATTGAGCACTTGGGTTAATCACAGCTACTTACCTATAACTCTGAGCACAGTGCCGGCTCCAAAGGTAGGTACAGCTAACCCCAGCTACACGGCTGCACACAGTCAGGCTATAACTCTCAGTGCCGTTATGCTTTTCCTGCCAGACACTTAGTTCCTTAAAATGGTACTGTTTAAAGGAACAGGCACCAGTGTGTATTTCTACAGTTTGCTATCAGATACGGCACTAGCAGATGGGAAAGGTTACTTTGCCCTGTGATTCCAAAGTGCCTTGATACAGGTGATGATAAATTCTTTCCTGGGAGGGGAGAAGGCAGAGACAGCAAACTGGGAAAAGGAGAAGGAATAGAGGAGAAAAGTGCCCTGAGAGAATCATAAGTTGTGAAAAGGACTGTTAGCAGATGTCAGTGTCCCAAAGCAATGTTAGGCAGCCTGCCAATCATCTATGTAGAGGCAAGCAAAGTGCCAGCAATATTACTCTTTCCCTGCCTGATTCAGCACACAGTAGAATCCAGACTCTACCTCTGAAACATTGTTTGGGATTGTTACATAGATGAACTGCAAAAACTTGCAGACTGAAGAAGCATTTTTCATTCTCAGCCTCTCTAATGTTTTCTTGGAGAATGGCAGGAAACAGAATTATTTATTCCTTTCTCCCTTCATGATGTTCCCAGAAATGAAAGACAGAGGCTACAGACAGAAAGATCTCAAAATTTATGCCTGCAAACCCTACGCTTCCATAATAGCGTATCTCATTTTAATAAGCAAACAATAAAGCATTAATCCTGTTCTCATGGCTGTATGTAAATTATTACAGATCATTATTCTGCTTTTAATTAAGAATGCTCCTGTACCCTAAACCAGTGTCACATATATCACAGAGATCTGACTTCTGACTTACCCATGACTGTGAGTTTTGTCCCACTGCCGAAGTACAGTCTTTCATTATTCACACTGTTTTGCAGCTGCAGAAAAACCTCTCCTCTACTCTCAGTCCTCTGAGCCAAACCTGCGGACTAACCCTCCCCTCATGCGGTACCAGCAAAAGAAGAAACACAGAGTACAGCAATCTATGGTCCCTAAAAACAGAGGTCTGTAAGGGAACACCACCACATCTGGGGGTCTAACCAGCTGAGATCCATATCAGAAATACTGCGTTCAGAGTCCTTTTGCTCTGGGCTTCGGTGCATCAGTTGTTGCAGCTTTCACCATTTCTTTAGAGGATATTCATCCCTTTATCTAGGTATAATATTAGAAAATAATTTCCATATGCAGAAAGAATTATTTGTTTATTCTCAGCTAAACAGCCTCATTTCCTTAATTTCCTCATCTTTTTCAACACCATGAATACTCTTCATTTGTAAAATAAATGCCTTTTTTCTTCATTTGCAAAATACTTTTAAGCTATAGCACAGGATCCTACTCCACTCTCCCAGTTGTAGCAGTTCCTAAACATGCCTCCCTTTCTCCTTCCCTGGAAAGAAGTCTCGGCTTTTATTCTTTCTGTTCTCTTAGTGATGATTATTGAAGTTAACTGCATAATTGTCTATGGTTGATGAGGGATCCATGTATTCATTTTCATCAGTTCAGGCACCTCAGATACACACTGGATTTTGAAAAATCAGCTGATCACTGAGATTTTTCCTCTGGAAATTGAATTTTATCACTTGTAATCAATTTATTCTGTAGTGGTACAATGTGGTACAAAAGTCTGCAGGAGAAGTGCAATGAGAAGAAGAGATCACCATCATCTATCGGTCTTAGAAGCAACCTTGTTTTCCCCTGGATTGGAGAATCCAAATCCATAAATGTGGCCCTGAAAGAAACATTCCCTTAGAGCTTCTTCTGTTTGAGATTAAGCATACACTCTGTTCCTGTGCTTTTCAGTGGTTGTTGAGCATCTATGCTGAAACAGAAGGACTGCTGTCCTTAATGATCTTTTATCACCACCCTGATATGGAGAGTTACTTTCTATGACAACTAGGAATTAACAGCTGCAGAGAGCTCATAGCATTACTTACTATAATGTCAAGTATTTATTTGTGCCTTCTGTTTTATCAACCAAAAATGCTAGAACATTTGTTTTTCAGTTATCTGAGACAATACATCCTTTCATTTACCCTGAAAAGATCCAAACTAATTCAAGCCTGTATAGTAATTTTGTTTTCTAGACCTGTACTGAAAGTCAGTTCTTTCCAGACAGACAGATAGCTTTTCACTGACTTTTCCTTAATCATCTGTAGCCCCAGGAGAACTAGCATTACAGAGAATAGATATACTTTTGGGGAAATAAGGATTTTTGTATATGTTGATTTATTAAGGCAATTTTTCTTATGATATGCGCACATTTTTTAACCCATTCCTTATCCTAATTCTTTATATGGACAGCTTTTTTTTTCACTGGCACGCATTCATTCAGTTCTCCAAAATGAAACGTGTCCTTACCGAGAGTACTAAACTTAGTCTATTCTCCAAAGTAGACTGGTTTACTAGCACGTCAGGAGCACAGCAGTTTAATAATGGAAGGGAGAACAATGATAAAGTGAAGTTCTCTAAAGAGAAGTGAATTGAAAGAGAAAATAAAAATTCCTTACCTATTACTGTAAGTTTTGTGCCATCGCCAAAAATCATATTACCGGTATTCACAGTGACAAAGTGTTGTATCATAAGCTAAGAAAAGGGATGCACTGCAGTTGACTTACTATAAGCAGAAGCTTAAGAGATCATTAGTGTATTTGGAATCCCAAAGGTCACTCAATCTCTGTCTGAAGGGGTTTGACAGAAAATTAAAAAATTGAAAGAGAAAACAAAAATTTCTTACCTATTACTGTAAGTTTTGTGCCATCGCCGAACAGCAAGTTATAAGCATTCACAGTGACAAAGTGTTGTATCATAAGCTAAGAAAAGAGATGCACTGCAGTTGACTCACTATAAGCAGAAACTGAAGCAATCATTAGTGCATTTGAAAACTCAAAGGTCACTCAATCTCTGTCTGAAGGGGTTTGACAGAAAACCAGCTTGAAATCTACTGTCTAATCTTTAGCATTCATAAAAGCATTTGCCAGAGCTTTTGGTAGTTATTGTCTACATTTCACCTCAAGTTGTTTTTGCAGCCTTTCTCCAGTCTCCATGTTATGCCATGGATATTACCTGCTATTCTCATTTTGCAGATCTAAAAAACATGCAGATGTACCCAAAGGCTGTCATTGACTAGAAATAGAATTCCTCTAATTTGAGAGCTTCCTCACTCTCCATCTTGTACTCTGAGCATTGTGAAGGCTTCCTTTCTGTAGCTTGTGGAGTTAATAATAAAATAATACTTGTTCTGTGGTTTTCGTAGTCAAATGTAGGTGGTTTGCCTTTGGCACTGAACTAAAGCAAATACATTTGTTTTCCCTTCCATGACAGGTCAATCATCTTGAATAGTCTTTCAGGATTCAATTTTCTGATATGTTAAAATAATCCACAGAAGGACAGCCCAGAATAATCAGTTGACTGATCTCAGACAAACCCTTGATACCCATTTGGAAGAATTGATGTGAGATGGTCTGGAGAAGGATTAGAAACAGTCTTTGTTCTCACAGGCATGAGTCAGTCAGTGGACACTGGAGACTTATTTAAGAGAGAAAACTCCAATACACTTTATATAGCATCTCTGCTACATGTCAGAATTCCTTTTCTAGCACTTGCATCACATTAATAAAGAACAATTTCGTGGTCTATTGCAAACATTGGCGCATCAGAAAAAAGTACTGATTTCTGCTTTGCATACTCTGAAAAGCTTTAGGTGCACATGCAGTCAATTTGGTTTGCTGAAAATTATTTCAATATCTCAGAATTTCGTAGCTTTCTTCCCAAAAAGGGCAGGCTCAGCTCTCAGATGATGAAAGTCCTAACATACCAGGTCTGTCAAGAAAAACCAAGGCAGAACATGCCCACTCTGCTGCAGAATTCTCTGCAGCTGCCTCAACACATTCTTCCGCAAGGCTTATGTGCAGATGGGTTTTTGTAAAGGCCTCCTGGGGAATGTATCATCGTGTACCCCCTGTCCCCACAACGATACAACCTCGTACAAAAACAATCCCGCCCATGACTCCACCCTCCCATTTTGTCAATCAGTCACCATGAAAGACTGCCATGAGAACCTATGTTGGTTTTAACTGAGGTAGAATTAATTTTTTTCACAGTGGCTAGTGAGGATTTGCATTTTGGATTTCTGCCGGAAGCACTGTTGATAAAATGGAAATGTTTTTGTTATTACTGAGCAATGTTTACACAGAATTCAAGTCCCTTTCTGCTTCTTATATTGCCACTCTCACAAGGAGGCTGGGAGTGCATGGGAAGTTGCGAGGAGAGACCGTGGGGACAGCTGACCCCAACTGATCCAAGGGATCATAAGATGCCATGCTCAGTATATAAAGTGAGGTGAGGGGAAGAAGAAGGAAGAGGGAGATGATTGGAGTGATGGTGTTTGTCTTCCCAAGTCACTGTTATGCATGATGGGGCCCTGCTGTTCTGGAATGACTGAACACCTCCCTGCCCATGGGAAGCGGTGAATGAATTCCGTCTTTTGTTTTCCCTGTGTGCACGGCTCTTGCTTTACCTATTAAACTCTCTTTATCTCAACCCACGAGTTTTTTACTTCTACTCTTCCAATTTTCTCCCTGGTCCTGCTGGTGAGGGAGTGAGCGACCATCTGTGCGGTGCTTAGTTGCTGGCTGGGTTTAAACCATGACAGAACCACAGGCCACATCCTTCCTTTGCCATTGCTGTTTCTGTGTGATAGCCCAATTACCTCTTAGTGTATCCATTATCTCTGAATTTAAAATCCCAGCATTTTTTCTTATAGTCAAAAAGGTAATACTTTATTTTCTTTTATTGATTTGTTTTAAATGCAGTTATTTTTCACTTGGTAACACCATGACAATGTTCGTGCTGCTGACCTTTCCACTCTAGCTCTCTTCTTACCCCACAGGGACAAAGAGACTCAAGCCCACAGTAACTAGTTTGCAATGAGAGTGATTTGATTACTACAGGCTGGTGGTTTTGTTTGTAGCCTGGTCTTGATTGAGAGCATCCTCTGTGGTCTGAGCTGCACTTGTCACCGTTGCTCTGAAAGGACAAGAACTAGGATGCTGAGCTCTTAAACTTGTATTCCTCTGATTGCCCTTTTACAGGAAGCAGAAGCATAAGCTTCTCCAAGGGCCTATGATTGTTCCTCTGAAAATGCTTCATCTGGGTGTAAGAGTGAGCCTTCATTTTGCAGACTGTCTGAAGAGTGTGGGAACTGATGGTGACAGTTAATAGTCTACTTTTATCTCTCTCCCTTACACACAAATGGCCCAGTCTTCTCACACAAAGCGTCAATGCATAATTGCAGTAAACATTGTTCATATTGCTCTTTAACAGCTTCACTTGAGTCTCTCTGATATAAAAAATAGACTGTAAACCCTATTTACAGGACACGATACTTCAAAACAAGGTTATTCTACTAGGAAAATCACAAATTCTTTTCTGTTCTTTTCAGATATCACAGAAAAAAAACATAATTTCTGATACAGCCTGCTCAGCTGGGAACATTTGTCAGTGTCCCAGGGAAAGGAACAAAAAACATGAACTAAGCTGAAATATTTAGGATCAAGACATAGGACTACAGAAAACAAGGTATTGAACTAGTCATCTTGGAATGCCTCTAGGTCATTCCCTCTTCTACCACAGGAAACTGGGTGCTTAAGTCACTAATTATGGAAGTGACAAAGGTATTTGTTGGTTTATATTGAATTCTTTTAAAAAATACATTTAGGATTGTATTTGTCTGTCACTGCCTAAATAATAACACTAATAGTGGGATATTATTTGCCTGCCTTGCTCTTAGTCTGCCTCTGATCTCAACACTATTCAGGGTCTAAACCCATTGTATTAAAATTAATTTAAGATTATTCTGTCTTCACCTCCAGTCTACACCTCCATTAGTGTCCTCACTGTCACTAACAGACTCTCTCTCATATGTGTCCCTGATTTAAAAAGAAGGAAATCACCTGTCTATTAGTTTTGAAGGAGTATATGGTGTTAACAGCTTCTCAGGTCATGTTCATTAGGCAATTTCCAAGACAAGCCAGCAGAGACCAGTCTTGTCCCACTTTAATGTTCCTCTGCAAACTTCCAAAAGCAAAGGCCTTGCTGGCCATGAATTCAAATTAGTGAGAGTGAGAGAAGAAAGGAAAGACAATTCATTGATTTTTTTTCCTTGTCTTTCATAGGAGGCTTGAGTGCCCTGCTGTGTAAAGCTTCAGACAAGGAAAGACAAGAATATGTAAGAAAGAGACATCTGGGGACATATTTTCTAACAGTGGTATCACTTTAGTGGGAGACTTTCACAAGAACATAGTGATTGCATCACTTACACCAGTCCTCAATTCTTTAGAGTTTACAGAAGCAGCAGCTACAAAGAAGCAGGCCCTGGCTACAGAGGCTCCTGGAGCTTTACAGATTTCTTTTAGAGACACTAGGAAGATTTTCATAAAAAGACAGGGCTTTTGACCACCAACCCCTAAACTGAAGCAACCACCATTTTTCAGGGCAAGTCTCTGCACTGAGAATATAAAATAGTGAAAGAAGGGATCTGATTAATAATCTGAATAAATATGATTACAAGGAGTGGGATGAGGAGGAAAGTAGCTGTTTCACAAGAAACTTCTTAGAATAGCCGCTTTTTGTGCAGAGCCACTTCAAGCTGATAAAAGAAGTACTGCATAGGAGCAAATTGTACCTTAGAGGTGGAAGAGGGAACTGTGACCACAGAACTTCAAAATAACAGTGAACATAGAGATCTCTGTGGTTTTCTGCTACTGCCTGGAAATTACACAGCTGTGACCAGTCAATAGCCAGCTCATTAAACTGCTGTATGTTGAAGGTCACTGATAAATTTGTTATGCCAAGGCCTTAAAACTGCATTTACCATGCTAAACTAAAAGTGCTCAAGAGTTGAGACAGGGATCTTTCCTTTGATATGTTACCGGAGTTGAAAAAGTTGTTTTGCAGTGCTGATGAAAAAGGTCTGAGCTAAGACTGTAACATGGTTTTCAGGTAGTTTAGTAAAAGAGTATTTTAAAAAAATATCTAAAAGAAAAATCACCCCAAAGTCACCACCATAGTGTTTATATTCCTTCATGATTCTAGCATGAACTATTTTCATAAAAACTTTCACAGGGCATTTGAATTAGCAGTAATAATTCCAGATAGCAACAGCGCAAATGTGTTTTGTACTACCTGTGTCAAGATGATCTCTACAAAAAGATCAGAGGCTGAAGAGGATAAGGAGCTCAGTATGTCTCTGCTATGTGAGAGGCAAGGCGTTCCCAGTGCTTCTTTGCTGTATGTCTGCAGCCTGACATGAGTAGTGAGGAGATCATGGACCTGAGGGTTCTCTGAGGAGAAGACAAGTGCTCCCTGGGAGCAAATAACCATATGTTCTATCTACTGCTGAGCGGCTCCTGAAGTCAGAAGAATGTTGGCTACAAGGGTGTGCAAGGGGTAGTATATGAAGCTGAGACTTTCAGAAATGTTTCTGGAGGACTGGAGTAAATCTATTATGCAACTAGATTTAGCCTCTTCAGACCCTCCCCTGTGTCCAGGGTGAGATTACAACGAGCATGAGTTTCTGTCATGGGTCTGGATTTCCCTAGCCAAGAACAATTTACTTTCTTTCAGAGCAGAGCCTGGAAGCAAAGTAATATTTCTGTAGCATGCTTGATCAGGAGACTAGGATCCTGGCATGAAATTGAGAGATCCATCCTGGCAGTACAAAAGTCTCCTAGCAATGCCGGTGAAATGGAGCATGAGGATCTTTTACAGGACATGCTCACAGCTGGTTCCAGCTCTTTGCTTTCAGCAACTCTTCCTATCGTCTCTCACTCTTTTTTTTTTTTTTTTTGGTCTGTAATCACACAGTGTGTTTCCCTTCAGCATACCCAGCTTTGCCACATCAATGAGCAGCACAGTACATTTGCTACCTGTGTTAGTTAAATGCTTGATATGCAATGAGCGTATGAGACAATTGGGTTTTCAACAATGGTACGCAGATGTCAAAGCCACAGCCTAAAAACAGAAACCTAAAGTACACAAGTGTATAGCCATACTTCCTTAAAAATACCTTTTGCTCTTTCATGTGCCATTTCCCTTCCTTTGAAGAAGAGGTAAGTGCCAGGTTATGCAATAAAAACAGGGGTATGGACAGGCAGTGACAGATGAGCGAACCCTCATAAACCCCTGCCCTCAGTTTTCCCAGGTCCATTCCAGAAGAGCAACTAGTTCATCAAAAATTTGTCTCAGCAAGCAATGTAGACAGAGGCACAATGGGAGGAAATTTCTGCCTTCAGCTGTTCATCTCAAGGGGAGCACCACGTGATGGCAGCTTTTTGTGGGTTTTTTTCTTTGCCAATGAGATTTTGCCATGAAGGGTTGCCTTGGTCCAGCTCAGAACTGCATGCAGGGTACGGAGGGATCCTGCACTTAAGCAGTGTGTGAAGCAGGTGAATAAAATGCTACACTGCACACTATTGCTTTTAAAGATGCCAAAGGGCTGTCCCTTCTACAATGGGAGATATGTCTGGCCCCCTGTGTACGTTTTCCCCCACTGATACTGCTGACATCCTCCTATGTCCATAATTAGTGGCTCGGCTCTCCTCCCACACCAATCAATTTCTGTTTGGGTACCTCAGGTTTGGGTACATGGTCAGTATGTGAAAGAACTTTGAATTCTCCATCTACTTCGTACTCTTTCCCTTGTGCTATGGTGCTATCTGTGAGGAACTATTGGCCCAGAACATGAGTGTGCTACTGCAGCACTAATTTTAAGCAATATATGCTGCCTTTCACTAACTACATCAGCAATGCCTCCATTCTTAATGTTGATCTATGGGTTTGTATTTCTGAAGGCTTTTTGTCTTTGAAGCTAAAGGCTGCTGCACTGCTTTGTCTCTCTCCCCTCCAAAGTGTTCTGGGTCTATTCCTGCAACATCTTCCTTGTCTTTTTTTCTACTCTTCCTCTGCCCCTCTCCTAACTGCCTCGCATGTTTCAGAGATTTCATCTCTCTGTCATTCAGGGTGGGGATTTTATCTTAGTGCTCAACCTGCTCGCTGTACCGTGTGATCTCTCGCAGCACAGAAATACGTGGCTGAATCCTTGGATGTCACATTCTTGATTGTCATCACAGTGTAAGTATGCTTTCTGCTTATCTCAAACTTGGCCTCAGTGTAACTGTCCTCATAAAATTTCTCCCTCAAAGAAGTAGTACTAACTATTAACTTCAGACCATTTCTTGGAGGCTGCTGGTACCAGAACATATAGGCAAGGTCACTGTTTTTCTGGTTGCAGGAGATGTTCACAGTGTCTCCAACTCTCTGAAAGATTTCTTCTGGCCACTGTGCAATGAAGATGTATCCGATCACAACACCTGCATTAGTGAGAGAGAAAAAAAAGTGAGGAGTAGGAGTACAGACAGTAACTAACAGGGTCCTTTACCTAACACCAGCCCTGCATGGCCTGGATGAGAGCTGTGCTGCAGGCAGATCTGTTGTCTCTAACCAGGTAAAAGAGCAAGCAAAACAGTCAGCATGGCCCTTCAGCTGTCCCAGAAAAAAAGTGTTCCTTCTCATTGAGAGCTAAGAGTTAGGAGAGACTGATGCCCCGCCTCTTCCTCTGATTTTTCTGTCAAGCTTGGGCAGAGAAGAGAGAAGGGACTGTCCAACTTTCATACTTTCTTTGGTAAATTATTAAAAGCAAAGCTAAGTGTTCATGTGACTCTGAAATTTTGTTTTAGCGTTTTCACAAGAAGGCAATGTTTTACACACAGATTTAATTCCAATGATCTTTAGTAATCCTTCACACTTCACTGATATCCCCCCTCCCATACTTCCCTCAAGCTCTAGAGAGATTTGTATCTTCCGTTTACCTCTATGTATTTATAGAAGAGGCATTTTCTGTTTGTGAGCCTGGCAGTACTGTACTTTTTTGGGGCCTAAGGTTGAGTTCCTAGCATCACACCAGGATTCAGATCAGTGTGAATCTCAAAAATTTGGTAGTGAATGTTCCCTGTCTCACTTTTTTAATCCTGCTTTTTTAAGGAGTTAACAGAAATTACCCAAGAAACTATAACTTCTTCCCAGACAGGAAAGAAAAAACATTTTATATTGTGTATAAGAGTTTTTTATGATCTCCAGTATCATGGATACTTAGTATCTGTGAAGTAGCAGTTTGACCATTGCTCCTGTTCAGTCCCTGCCAGTTCTTCCCACTGTGGGTTTTCTCAGGATAAATTATTCCTTACCTGTTCTCCAGTGAGACTGAGCCCTGTGCTGGATATATTACAGTTTCAGTGATTCTTCAAGGAATTGTAAACAATATAGATTTGTTTTTAATTACCTTCCATATCTTTTACATTTTTCTTTGAATGTTTGTGATGTTTTTGGAGTCAGTGCATCAGTTAGCAGATAAGTTTGAACAAATTTTGTATGCTTCCATATTCTTTTTGCTTGACACAGGTTATCCTTTAATGCATATTTTTAGCATTTACTCCTCACAACCTATTCTTCTTTTTATCTCTCATGAAAGGTTTGTTTTGATATTTCTTGTTCTCCATTTGATTTTATTGACATTATTCAGTTCCACCTTACTTGGATGGGACACCTTTAGACACTGCCATGGGCCCTGTTGAGGCAGTTCTATGGGATGCTGCTACTTTGATGAAAGTCCCACAATGACCCCTACATGCCTCAAGCATGGAGAGTACTGGTTTTTTAGTTTGATTCTTGTCTGTCATGCCCAACCTGCTAAAAACCTTTTCAGTAACAATCAAACCTTAAGTCCTAGAAGGAGAAATTTTTTCAGAGACTGATGGGAAATTTAACAGATTATGAAGACTGTGGGAACTAATTCTAAAATTATGCTGTGTAAGAGCTCCGAGACAAGGCAAAATAATTTCAGTACATTTGGTTTGCAGATTCTTCTCTAATCACAGATGTTAGAATATATTCCTCATTACAAGATGAAGATTTTTACTTAAGAGTAACTTTTTTGTCTCAGGAAACAAGAGATGATTGCAGACTCTCCAAAAGAAGATACAACTCAGGACCTCTAGTGTATGTCTCTGGAATTGCCTAACATGTTGCTGCTTTCTGAAGAGCAGCAAGATTGACAACCCTTTTCTTTCTCAGTTCCAAAAGTTTAATTCGTTCAGTTTATTTTCTTTTAAGATTAAAGAAGAAACAAGGGAAAACGAAAAGTACCAAGATAAAGACCAGTATGTTCAGACTTTCCAAGTAAGATGCAGAACCACTGTATTTGAGGAAGAATAAATGCAGGAAAATAGAGGAATACAGTTATAAAAGGGGTCACTCAAAGGTAAACAGGAGCTGGTGAATATGCTTGTCTGGCTGTGCTTTGAACCTGCTTAGCTCAGTGTATCCATGTCTTATTAACTGCCATTTCTAAGTATTTACTTGAGGGAGGGGCTGTCTATTACCACAGGTACCAGCAACTGGAGAGACCAGAGTGAGTGAACTTCAGCACCAGAAACTGGATTAGGGCCACGGACCAGTAAGAGGTACCATTTGTTCGTCATGCTGGCAGCAGGGATGAGGGACAGTGTGTGAGTGTGTGATCACTAGTGAACATGAAGCCAGACAATCTGTAAAGTAAGTGAGGAGACCTGGAATCCAGGTGTATGTCTGTAATGGCAAGAGCAGTGGCAGGTGGCAGCCAGAGGGAGCATGGGAGTCCCAGGCATCTGCTGGAGAGGGGCCTATGTGGGAGGTGTGTGTAGGGGGGTGTGTGGGTGTGCATACCAGCAACTGGAGTGGGGCTGCAGGACTTTGGGGCTCATGGGTCTGGGTGCTGGCACATGTGGTGACTGGGATCCAGTGGCATCTACTGGACTCGGTGTCCAAGTATGGAAACCTATGGAAAGTGTGCACATTGTACATATGTATACATGTGTTTCCCACTATTGAATCCTTACCTAGAACCATTATTTCCCACTATACACCCCAGCCAGAGGGGGACAAAAGATGAGGTGATTAGTGCTGTTTCTGTCGGGGGGTGGGGGGAGTGCATCTGTGTTGATCCATGTGTTCAGCTTTGTATACATGTATATGCTTTGTACATATGTGTGTCTACTTGGGATACATTCTCAGCCTTGCTACTGCGTGGGCCAGGAGACATGGAGCTGGGGCAGTCTCCTCTCTCTCAGCCACCAGATTCAGCCCAGTCTACCAGTGAACCTCATCTCCTCTTTAATGGAAAATGAGAATAGATGTGACAACGAGGAAAGGGCAGAGGTACCCTGACTACATGGAAGAGAAACAAAGGAACAAGGAAAAGATTCCTACTGAAGGGTGTTTAAAGTAAACTGGAAACAGTAAGTACTGGCTTAGAAGGGATTTGTGATGGATTTGGAAACTAATGTCAGGAAACAGACCGTCAAGCAAAGGTTGGCTCTCCTGATCCAAAGGATAGAGAAAAATGCCTGTTGCAATACAAGGAAGGACACCCATTTTCAGAGCTACATGTAGGCTTAGTGCTTATGGCCAGGACTAGGACTATATCCGGGTCAATGGTGACTATGAGCATCAGATGTCTCTTTAGTTGTAGCGAATTTAAGGCATCTCAGGCCAGTTTCTTTCAGTAGCCTCTACCAGTACAGAAAGTTTCTCCAGGGCCAACTCTTTGCAGACTATTCTGAGAGAAATCCTTTCTCTTCAGGCTTGTCATCACAGATCCCTTGCCCAGTCAGACCCATACTGCTCCTTTCCCACTCTCATCCCCAACCAATCCATTCTAATTCCATTTCTAATGGAAGCAACTGTGTCTTCTTACTTGGTGCAAGTTCCTCTTCCTCATCCATTCTATTTCCCAGTGTCAACTTTGCTGGCTACCACTTTTAAACTTCTTCCCAAGTTTTTCAGACCTTCTGACTTTTCCCCTCACCACCTTTCACTTTTCCTTGTTCTTCTTTACCTTCCTTTTTGTTTCCCAAACTTTCCATCCTGTATTCTTACAGCAAAGAGGCAGTTTCTAGGTTTGGAGATGGTAAAATTGCCCGAAGTTCACACAAGCTTGGGATACATAGACCATTCATGAAAGCTTCTTCATGCTGCTCTGTTACAGATCATGTGCTGGGTGAGTTGGATTAAAGAAATACTTTCAAATCTAATCTCCCCATCTGCTATGTCCTTTCAGGGCCCTTCCTTTCTGATGCAGGCATTTGCTGAAAATTCCCAGGACACAGTCTGTTTCCTGCTTTAAAGGCTGATGCTTTATATCCACATCTGGCTCCATGTGGGACCCCTGTTCTTATGATTTTCCTACCTTCTTCCCACCACCATTCTCTCCTACTTTTTTATTCCTTCAGTGCCTCTGGCCACAGTCATCAAGGACCCTTTCCGAGTTGTGAGCTTAGACACTCTGAAAGAAGTCATAACTTTCCTTCTTTACAGCCCAAAAAATGAGCAAAAACCAGAACTGCAGCAGGGTAGTGAAGAAATTAGAGATGACATGAAGGCTATGCACAATTAGACACTGTTGGACACTGGATGTTATAGCAGAATGTAAGAAACCGAATTTAAGGTATCCATAGGTATTTGTTGAAAATAGTAGAACAGTGGTCTCCAAACATTTTGTTCTACACCCCTTCAGTAAAATATTTTTAAACAAGGACCTCCAGTATGTGTATATTTAGTAGTTGATAATTATATGCATACAATACTAAAATTTTAATGCACCATTGTCACGGCTCAGTGGGTTATCTTGCACACCCCCAGGGGTGCATGCTCCCTGCTGTGAAGACTCCTGCATAGGAACATTGTAAGCCAGCAGCCTTTCTCTGAATATCAATTAGAGATGTAAAGACTAGAAGACGCACAGAGCTTCACCAGACACTCTCCTGTCCTCCAGCAACTGAGGAGCTGGTGTTCCTAGGTCTTAAGTGTGCCTTTCCAGAAACACCTCACAGGCACAGGACACTTGGGAAGAGAGAAGCAATGGTGCCTCCATCACCAAGCTCTGTGAGATGTAAAAGGACTAATCTCAGAAATTCCTCTGATTTATGTTCACAGAAAGCTTTATCTCTGTTAGCCCACGGTCTCACCAGGTTTCTCTTTCCCAGGATCTTTCATCAGCCTAGACAAATGGATTTCCTTTATCTGAGTCCAGTGTTGATACAGTTGACTGAAATGTAGGAACATGGTGTTCTAGAAATGCAAGCTGTCATTGCTTGTCCATTGATAATACCTAGTACAGTTGCCCTCAATTCACTAATCCTCCTCCTTCCTTTGCCCCTGAAGCCATCAGCTTTTTCCTGCAGCATCACTGTGTGCAATGAGAGATTCGTTTGCAGCAACAGATATACAACATTCAGTGCATTTTTTGGAAGACCCTGACGAAAACCTTACAATGGGTCTGTAGAATCTTCAGCAGCATTGAGCAGAAGGGGGTATATACATTTCAGATAGGGATTTGTTCCCTTCAAGAAAGGAACGAGAGGTGGCAGAAGATGCTGCAGGTTCAACTATAATTCAAAGGGGTCTGTTCATCCTTCAGAGTTCTCATAGAAATGCAGCATTATCCTGCATTATCCTGAAATTCTTCTGTGGCAAAAATCTGTCTCTGTGGAACATTCCAAAGATAAATAGAAAACATGCTTTTTTTTTTCCGAATATTTTCTTATAGATTAGGAAAGAGAAATTAGGAAAGGGAGATGATGAGCATTCCCACATTTGAAGTATATAACTTGGGAAGTGGTGGACAATACAAAATAGTTTTTGTCATACTCCCTTTGGAAATTACTTGTGAGGAGTTTTCTTTAGGCAGTCACTGTTTTCTGTATGACAAAAAGACAGAGACACTATTCAAGGGAAGGAATAAACTTAACAAAGTTAACCAGTGGTTTGTTGGCTTTGCCTGTCTGCCCAAAATAAAAGCATTGCATCTTTCTGTCCACTACCTAAATATTCCACCTCAGGGTTGAATATGCATTTCTAAGAAAGACATCATCAGCACAGAGGAATCCCAAAGGAATTTGAGACTTCTTCTCAACAGGTGATGAGTTTAAGAAAGAGGCAGACAAAAAATTAGGGCATCTTCCAAAGCCAAAATATATTTTTAAATTGAAGGCTGCCCTC